GGCTGCGGGAACGCGTCGGGCCGGGAATTGCGGGGTTCCCGCCGGGACCCTCCAGGGCAGTGTTGTCAGGGGTTTGTGGGTGCCCGCCGGGCCGGGGATGCCGAGAGCTGCGGGGACCCGCCGGAACGCTCCGTTTCGGGGCTGTGGGGAACGGCGGGGCCCCGGCTGACGGCCCCGCGGCGGCTCTGCCCGCAGTCGCAGCCCGACGGGGAGCCGCTGCCCGGCGCCCTGGAGAAGGAGGACGCCCGCTCAGCGCCCAGCACTCCGTCCACGCCGTCCGTCTGCTCCCCGCCATCCTCTTCCTCCTCCACGCCGTCGGCCGGCAAAAACGTCTGCTCCAGCTGCGGGCTGGAGATCCTCGACCGGTACCTGCTGAAGGTGAGCGGGGCGGGGGTGCGGCGGGGGCGGCGGGGGGCGGCGGGCGGCCCTGGGTCTCAGCCTCTTCTCTGCCGCAGGTGAACAACCTCATCTGGCACGTCCGGTGCCTGGAGTGCTCCGTGTGCCGCACCTCGCTGCGCCAGCAGCACAGCTGCTACATCAAGAACAAGGAGATCTTCTGCAAGATGGACTACTTCAGGTAGGGACCGGGCCGGGGCCGCTCCGAGGGGCTCAGCCGCCGCCGGGTGCCGCGGGGCCGGGGCCGCTCCGGCACTGCCGAGGGGAAGGTTTGGAGAAGCCGCCGGGCTCCCCGGAGCAGCCGGGCGGGAGACGACCCTTGGGGCACGGGAAGAGAGGCAGAAAGGGAGGTTGGGGTGCAGTTTCCCACCCTCCGGAGGGGTTCCTGCCCCCCGGCCGTGGCTGTGCGGGCCGCCCCGAGCTCCCCGTCTCGGCGGCGGGAGCGCCCGGCTCTGTGGGTGCGGCGTGGCGGGGATGGTCCCCGCGGCGGGGAAATGGGGATGGGATGGGATGGAATGGCCTCGTCCCGGCTCTTGCCGGAGGGTAAATTGGTGCTGCCGGCCTGCGGTGCCCAGCGCCTTTGGGGAGCTCCTGTCCGAGCTGCGGCCCCGCAATCGCCGGAGCGTCCGCGGCGGGAGCGCGTTACGGAACCGAAACGAGCGACGGGCGGCGGCTGCGGTCCCGGGGCTCGGGCCGGACCCGCACCCCCGCAGCAGCCTGTCCCGCAGGGAGGATGTTCTGTCTGCGTCGGTCTTTCTGTTCTAAACCTTAACCCACGAATTTTCCCCTAATTTGAGTGGAACCAGGGGATTGAGTATCTTGAGCTCCTCGCCAGGGTTTAACTAAACATCGGAACCCCCGCTCTGACTTTCCCCGTCCTACCAGGATGAGGGAATGCTGTTTGACCCGAGAGGAAGGGGAATGGCGGGCAGGAAATGGGAATGACCCCGGCGGGGCGCAGGGGGCTCGGAGCATCCTCCGGCCGCGGCGGAGCTCGGGGCTGCCCCGGCGGCAGCGGGCAGGGGAGCTCGGGGGGCACCTCGCAGATTCCTCCGGTGCTTTTTATTAAAGAATCTGCAAATACCCGATTTTCCGCAGCTCAACCCCCGCCGGGCTTGGTGCGGTGCCGCCGGGGGTGCGGGGCTCATGGAGGCGGGTGCGGGGCTCGGAAAGCCGGGTCGGTCCCGGAGTCACGGAGCTCCTCGTCCTGTCCTATGGTGGTGGTTGTTGTTCTTATTATTATTAGTTATTGTTATTATTTTTAAACTGCAATTTTCGGTGATTTCACCGAAATCTCCCCCACTCCACATAGAAAGGCTCAGGGGGTCCCGTGGCCACGGTGATGTTTTGCGGCACTTTAAGCGTTTTCATTCATTTATCACCGTTCTGGTGCCGTTGATGTGTGGTTTATTTTTGGTTTATTTTTGAGAGCGACTCTTCCCAAAGGCGGTTTTAAAGTAGCGCCGGGATCTCGAAATGACCTTCGAGCAAATGTGGCAAATCACAGCGTTAAAATTAACCTGTTTCGCGAGCCTCCCGTTTGAGCAGCCCCGATCCCCTCGTTCGGTGGGAGCAGCCGGGCTGTTCGCGTCGGTATTGACGGGCCAAAGGGAAACAAAACGAAAATCGCGGAAGCCGCCGCAGGACGCTCCCGGTTCCTGCGGCAACCGTTCGGGGGGCGCGGGGGCTCCCAACCCGCGCTCCGCAACTTGCCTTTTGCGCTAAAAAGTGGGGATTCGGGGAGATTCTTTTTTTATTGGTGGTGGTGAATCTGAGCGGCGGCAGCGGCGGCGCTCGGAGCCCGGCGGGTGCGGATCTGCCTCTCTCGCCCCAGCCCCGCCGGGATCGCTGCGACCCCCGGCCGAGCCCCGGGCCGGCCCCGGTGCGGTGGTCGGGGGCAGCGGGCGGGGGTCGCTCCCGCGGCGGAGCCCGCCGGGCTGAGCCGCCGCCGTCGGTGCCGGTGCGTGGCTGCTCAGCAGGGCTGGGGCCGGGGCAAATCTCCCCGGCTGTCCTCGGCCAACTCGGCTCGTTGGCCGCTCCCTCCTGCACCCGCCCGGCCCTGGGAACACGCCGGCCGGCATCTTGTTGATCCCGGCCAGTGGGACTCAGCGCTTGGCGCAAAACAAACTTGACCCTTGGGATGGATTTTAAAAATTGTATTGATTGTTTGCCGTAGATGAAATGTGTGTGGGTTTTTTAAAGCAAAGCAGAAACCCCATCCTAATGCGTGTGGTTTGGAGCCAAGGCAGATGGAAGGGGCAGTGGGATGCTCTGCATGGAGCACAGGGATGCTCTATCACTCCGGTGCTGGTTCTGACACTGGTGCTGTTGGGGGACGCTGAGGATGGAGGCTGACAGGCACAGGGCTGTCATGTCACAGCCCCACTGCCCACGGGGAGCATGGTTAGGCCTGCTCTGTCTGAGTGTCACTTCCCTGTCCCCGTGAGGGGCTGTGTAGAGGTGCTGGCACTGCCGTGGCTCCGCGGCCTCATGTGCGTTTTTAAGCAAACGCTGCTGTTTCCTGTGTCTTGTCAAATAATTACATTTGGCGTCCAAGGTTCCAGTGCTTCAAGGAGAACCAAATTAAAATTGGATCTCATTGAGCAGAACATTGTGTTCCCGGGCAATGCAGGGGCTGCTCACGGCCAAGCTCCCACGGCTCCGGTCACCCCGAGGCCTGACACGATCCCGGTGTGATTCCTGCTGTGCCCCTCTGTGACCTTGATGGGCAGCCCACGGGCATGTGAGCATGGGGTCACTGGCCTGGCTGTGGCTCAGGTGGGCTCCATCACCTCAGTCAATGCTCCAGCTTGAGCACTGCTGTGTCACAGCATGAAGGTGCTCACTGAGGCACCCGCTGCTCTACTGGGAGATTGGGGTGATGTCTGGAAGCTGCAGCTGCCTCTGAGGGCTGTGTCTGGGGCTTCCTGCAGAGTGGAACCAGGAAATACTTGGAGCTGTGAGCGGCCCTGGGGCTGGGTGTCCCTTCCCCTGTCCCCACAGGCAGGGATGGACAGCAGGGCTCAGGGAGCTGTGGCACCTGGGGACAAGTGGTGTGTGAGAGCCAGGACACACCAAAGCATCCTCCCGCCTCTGCTCTTCCCACTCCCCAGATGATGCGGCCGCCCCTGGGGGAGGTGGGATGAGTCTTTCCGGGATGAGTCTCTCTGGGATGAGTCTTTCCTGGTAATGTTGTTGTCAGCTTTTATCTCCCAGAGTTAACCTTTGTGAAGAGCCATCAGCATCTGCTCACCCCGCAGCCGGGGTTCGAGCCGATGGCTCTGGGAGTGGTTGGGGATGCTCCTGCCTGTGCCACAGTGCTGGGCTTGGATAAAACCTCTGGCTCTGTGTCTCTTGCTGCAGTGCAGCCCTACCACCATCCCTGTCCCTGTCCCAGCCAGGTGGGTGACAGGGGCCATGCGGAGCCCCTCTCCTGGTGCTCAGCTCTTTGGGGTCTCGCTGCCCTGTGAGCTCAGGCACTAATGCCGGTGTTCTGGTGGAGCTCTTCATTTGTGATGGTGACGGGCCGGGGCAGAGTGTTCACAGGCATTTCCCTCCCTGTTCCTGTGGTGCTGGCAGCAGCACAGTGATGGTCCCTGCGGTGACAGTGTTGGGTGATATTGGGTGCTGTGCCTGGCCCCAGCTCACCCTGGTTTCTGTACAGCCCAACTGCTGCAGTGGTGCTGCAGATGGGGGTTGGCCAAGAGCTGCAGGTGCAGCGTCAGCGGTTGCCGGTGCCGCAGCCTGTGCAGCCCCATGCCCACATTGCTGCTGAGCCTCGGCCTCTCTCTGGGTGCTGTTGGTGCCGTGGCTCTGTAGGGGACAGTGACATCAGTCCCTGACTGTGCTGGCTGCTGTGTTCCCACGAGCCCCTGCGCCTTTGGCAGCCTCTATTCTGCTCCCTGGGCACTGCCACCAACCCGGGGGTCCCGCCTGGCCCCAGCGGGGACTCCATCCTGTGGGTCTGGGGCCACCTGAGCATCTCCCCCAGATCCCAGCTGGTGTGTGATGGGGGTGTGTGACCTTTCCTGTGCAGCGCCCAGTGCCCCAGTTTCCCCCATCCCCGTGCTGTGCTCCCCCTGCCCGGGCTGGGATCCGAGCAGGGAGCAGCCATCACCACGTGCCATTAGCTCGGTGCACTGCCCCTCGCTTGATACTGCTCAGCAAGTACGACTGTTTACATAGCACATTGTTCAAAGTAATTCAATTTACAGGAATGATCTTTACTTCTAAATAAAAAATTAATATGGTTCTTTTGTTTGTGCGTTTATATAAACGAGCTGGCACGAAGTCAGTTTACAATGTTCCCATCTGAAGTAAATTAGTGAAGTCTCTTAGCTAAGTCTCTGTATAATTTCAGCATAGAAATGTCCTCTTTCTTTTTTTTTTTCGTTTTTGGTCAGCTATGGTCAGGCTGAAAAATTTAGACCCTTCGTTTCCTCCCAAATAGTTTTGCAATTAGTAATTCCAGCACAGGACGGTCTTTCTACATCTTGTTGAGCCCACGGTGGGCGGCAGCTCTGCGGTGTGGGGTCGGGCACAGGCAGTGTGTTGGTTGTGGTGGCCTGACCTGGGCTCTGTCACCGCCTGTCCACAGCACCTGGGGCTGCACTGGACAGTGAATTGAGGGGTTTGTGGTGCGGGGTCTCTCCTGTTGCTCGATGTGGTTGTTTCTTCTTGGTGTTTTGTGCCTGTGCTGAGAGATTCAGGAGCTGCTCGGGCGGGGCTGGCAGTGGCTCTGCTCCCCACTGTGGTGGGGGCTAGTGAGAGCCCCTGGGGAGCCTGAGGTGGCAACGGCAGTGCTGGGGCTGTGCTGGGAAGCGCGGTGGCTGCAGTTGGGGCTGTGTCAGAGCCAGCACCAGCTCTGCAGTGGCAGAGGACAGGCTCCTTTCTCCCCTGATGCTCTTGCCGCTGCTCATTGCATTTATTTTTTTAAGCAGCAGCAATACTGAAATGCAGAAATCAAACCAAGGCTGTGCCTGGCTCCTCCTGGCAGGCACTGGCCTGGGGGTTCAGGGCCATGGGGGCCACATCTGCTGCTCCCCGTGAATCGCCCGTCCTTGGCCCTTGGCATCCTGGCAGGAATGGAGGTTTTCAGGAGCACACGATCACAGGGTGCAGGGGCCTGGCTGTCTTGTTGCCTCTTCATTGTGCTGAGCTACCTTCCAGCATAGCTCACTCCAGCACAGTCATCATCCTCTCGCAGCGATGAGACCTCCTCGATGGAGGAAAAACCAGATGCGTGCGCCTGTACGTGTGAGGAGAACACACATGGTTTGATTTATGGCAGTGGGAGAGAACCAGCCCTGACACAGTTTCCATCCGAGTCTCACACTGGCTGTTATCAGAATGAAAAATCCCACGGGCTTGGGAGCTGATTCACGGCGCTGCGTCACCTCAGCCCCTCGGCCGCGTCTGGTGCTGCAGGGCTGTGGCGAGTCACACCCCGCTGCTGCCCACAGCACTGCCCACAGCACTGCCCACACCACTGCCCACACCGCTGCCCACACCACTCCCTGGGGAATGCCACCCGTGGGACAGTTTTGCTGCGGGATTCGGGCTGGTCGGGGTGAGCGATGGGGTCGGCGGCAGCGCCTGCGCCCCAGCATCACCCTGCCTATCCTCACCCTGCCTGCCTTCACCCTGCCTGCCTTCACCCTGCCTGCCTTCACCCTGCCTGCTCTCACCTGCCTCTTCTCCCCCCCGCAGCCGGTTCGGTACGAAGTGTGCCCGCTGTGGCAGGCAGATCTACGCCAGCGACTGGGTGCGGCGAGCGCGGGGCAATGCCTACCACCTCGCCTGCTTCGCCTGCTTCTCCTGCAAGCGGCAGCTCTCCACCGGCGAGGAGTTCGGCCTGGTGGAGGAGAAGGTGCTGTGCCGGATCCACTACGACACCATGATAGAGAACCTCAAGAGAGCGGCAGAGAACGGTACGGAGCCCCAGCGCCGCGGTCACGGCCTCACCCCGGGGACCGTGCAGGGTGTCACTGTCCCCTCCCCTGACCCTCATCATGGGGTGTTGGGGTTGGTCGTGTTGTTGCCAAAAAGGGGTGATGGGTGGCCATGGGGTGGCTTGAGCACAAGGCCCTGGGCTGGCAGAGTGCTCACGGGGGTGGCCAACGTGCTGGCAGCACCTGCGGCTCATGGCAGACCCGTGTGCTGCGGGTGATACCGGGGACGAGTGCCTGGTCCTGCACAGCCCGGCATGCAGCGTGTGAGGAAGCTGCTGGGACTTTGAGGCTGTGAGTCATAAATCTAGAAGGTGGGATTGGCGATTCGACAAAACCTTCCCATCATTTTCCACCCGCCCTGCCCATCCTGGGCCGTGCCGCTCCCAGCTGGACGGTGCTGTGCCGTGCCATGGCCGGCCAGCCTCCAGTGTCCCAGTCGGGTCGGTGACACTGAGGTCACACAGCACCACAGCTCCCGTCCCCTTGAGCACAGCCCCATCCTCTTGCGTGGCAGTGGCCAGAGATGCTTGGAGGAACAAATCTGTGGGGTTAGTCCAGCGCAGTGCACAGAGAAGCCGGGCAGTGCCACAGCATGTCCTGTGTGGGAAAGTACCTCAGTGCATGGTGGGCACAGGCAGTGACACGCCATGCCCCGGCCCATGCAGCATGTGGAAACCATTAACAACCTGACGTGAAAATAACATGTTTCTGTTTACTGTGTTTGAGTAAGAGGATGAAAACAGAGTGCCCGGTCAGGCTGGGAGGGTCCTGGCTCAGGACGTGGCTCGCAGCATGTTGGTCCATATGGTCAGCTGCTGCGGAGGCGTGAGGGAGGCAGTGGGAACAGGGATGGAGAGGGAGATGCCACGTGGCCTGGAGGAGCAGTTTGGTGTGAGGACAGCAGGATCTGGCACCAGGGAGCCTTGCAGAGCTGTTACCCCAGCTGAGGGCTGGGATGGTGGGCTTTCTGCTGCTCGGAAGGACCTGCTGGTGTGGGCTGAGCACCACGGTGTTGGGCAGCACTGGGGCACCTGGTGAGTGCCCTGTATGGGCACCTCTGTCCAAGTGTCCCCTGGTTTTGAGAAGGGGGTGGGATCACTTTGGAGTGCTGCAGTTGCTGTGGAGTTGGAGGGCCACGCTCCCCCCTCCAGCAATTACCCAGCAATTTCTTCTGCACATGAGGTTTTACATACAAGAAAAATAAACAGATGTTGCTGAAGTCAGAGTCCCATTCATCATCCGAAAAGAACAAGTCAAACTATATGAGAAAGTCCTTCAACTCAAGCCAAGACAATCACAGCCTGGTCCAGCTTGTGGAGCGAGCGCTGGGCTGTGCAGGCGCATCCTGGGAGTGGGGTGAGCGCCAGCCCTGCTTGGCCTTCCTCCCTCCTCCATCCCTCCTCGGTGCTTCACCTACGCTGCCGAGAGCAGACAGGCATGGCCTGGGCTGCAGAGGGGACCCCAGTGAGGAACGAGGGACTTCAGCTCTGGCCACCCTCCCTGTAGGCTGTGTGGCAGCGTGAGCACAGCTGGGCTCACCCCACTGCTGTGCTTGGCAAGTGGGAGGTCAGTGTCCCCCTGCTGTGTCCCCCTTAGTGTGGCTGCTGTTCAGGGCATGGGCACCCCAAGGCCATGGGGACGGTGTCGCTCCTTCTGCTGCTCGGGGACCCAGGAGGAAGAGGAGATCAGGGTGCTGGGAGGACTTGGAGCCAGGGAAAGGAGCAGAGAGCCCATTGAAACTCTCTGAGCAAATGAAACGACTGATGGAGGCAGCACCAGTGGAGGAAAACGGGGTCACAGGGAGCAGCACAGGGCAGGAGTGATGGATGTCAGTGAGCCCAGCAGAGACAGGGTCCCTTCCCAGCCGCTCCCTGGAGGATGTGGCCAAGTAGTGACCGTGAGTCAGGGCCAGTGGGACATCAGTGCTTGCCCTCACACACCACCTTGACATCCCTCTTCCTGCTGCTGTCTTCCTGTCCCTTATTCCCCAGGGCTTCCACCACTTGCTGCATTTTTCTTAATTCAACAGTAAACACTTCGGGGGAGGTGGTGTCTCCTTCCCAGTGTGCTGAGGGGCTCAGCAGTCCAGGGCAGCTCCCGAGGGGCAGTGCTGGCTCTACTCTTTCTGCTCCCACTTGCAGCAAAGGATGCTGTGGGTGCCCCACCCTGCCAGGCATGTTGTCCCTTGGCTGAGGGGATGCTGTGGGTGCCCCACACTGCGATGCCACCGGCCGTGCTGTCCCCCAGTTGAGCAGCTGCTGCATGTGGGCAGGGGAGTTTCTGACCTGTGGCTCACGGGCTTCTGTCCTGCAGGCAATGGGATCACGCTGGAGGGGGCTGTGCCCTCGGAGCAGGACAGCCAGCCCAAGCCAGCCAAGAGAGCCCGCACCTCCTTCACCGCCGAGCAGCTGCAGGTAGGGGGGCTGGGCCAGGGGGGGCTGGAGGGGCTGCGCCTCCCCGGCCTCATCCTGAGCCCCTCTCTCCTCCCTCCCGCAGGTCATGCAGGCACAGTTTGCTCAGGACAACAACCCCGACGCACAGACGCTGCAGAAGCTGGCGGACATGACGGGGCTGAGTCGGAGGGTCATTCAGGTGAGGGGCAGCTGGGTGGGCACTGCTGGCCGAGCAGCCCCAAGCAGGGCAGGGAGGGTGCACCTAAAGGCTGGCACCAGACAGGGCTCACAGCCCCGTGGCCCCTCACTCCTGCACATCAACCCCACGACACGCAGCATCCAGCAGCTTCGTGCTGCCCTCCCAGTGTGTCGGCTCACTGGCTCCCGTAGCAATGCCAGCACCATCCTCCCTCTGTCTCTCTCGTGGGTTTTCTATTTGTTTTTCCCTCCTGGGATGCAATGAAACAAACCCCCATGCAGCCCCAATAAATCACTGGGTGGGAAAGCTGCCCCTGAGCACACTGTCCCAGAGCTCAGTGCTCTGCCCCAGCTCGAGCAGTGCCAGAGCTCCCCTGGCAGTCCCCACCACGAGCAGGCAAAGTTCTCAAGCTTCAGGAAGTGTTGGGATTGAGAAGTTTAAAGAAAAAGGGGTTTTGCAGCCCCAGGGGACGTGGTGGCAGGGAAGTCCCCACGCCTGTGCCGGGAGGGGAGGGAAAGTGGTGCTGTAGGGACTGAGAAATGTCCCCTCTGCAAATCCCAGCTCACCATCCCTGCAGACAGCCCAGCTTTGCCTCTCGGTGACATTTATACTCATCACTTTAATGTTCTGCTGACATACTTTCTGCATACAATAAAAAGCACGAGTGATGAAAATAAATGTGGAGCTTTCATCCGGGATTGTTTTGTCAATGGCACATTTAAATTTTGTGTGTGAAAATCTGGCTCGAGCCTCTGTTACTGAGATTCTTCATTTAGCTAAAGATCAAGCAGGCTGCACACCAGGTGATTTTTTCATGTGGATATTTTTCAAAGGCGCGTTAAACAGGAAACAATTTGTCAAATGCTTACGACTGTTTCCTTCTCTGTGGTCCAGTGTGCTCGGCCTCAGAGAGCTGATCTTCACTCAGCCTTGGAGAAGGTTTTTACTCCCAGCTATCTTTCAAAAATTAAAGCATGAGAAACAAACCACCTCCTCAGCATAAAAAAACCTTTCCATGTATGTTTTATCTCTAGGATGTAATTCCCTAACTATTCCTTTAATTAGAAGCATTGAGATATGGTCAGAGGGCTTGTACCTGCTGCTCACACAGTCTAGGGCTGTGTCCCACCACAGTACCCTCCTTTCTCAGCTTTAATGTTCTGATGATGTGGCTTTTGAATATGCTAAAACACAAGTGTATTAAAACAATATTGTTTTCATCATCCTTAAAGTCACAACGTCTCCTAGTCTAACCTTCTACTTGGTCTTGCCTCCCCTTGTTCCTCTCCTTGCCAATGCTCACGTGTTTCCCAACTGATCTCAGCTGTGCTTTTAGCCCAGGTGAGCTGGGGCTGCAGCCTGAGATTTAAGACCTTGAAAGGTGCTCCCCTCCTTTGCAGGGGAGTTGAGCAGGGACAAAGCTTTGGCTTCACTCATGCTCCAGTGGGTGTAAATAAAGCTGTGGAAACCAGTGAAACGCTGGTGAGGGGCAGATTTCTCAGTTTTATATCTTTTTTTAAATGCTTGGAGCAGACACCCACCCTGGGGTTGCGGCGAAGGACCACACCTCAATCCAGTTGTCTCTGAAGCTGACGCAGGATTTGCTGCTTTTGTTTCAGGTTTGGTTTCAAAACTGCAGAGCCCGCCATAAAAAACACACCCCCCAGCACACGGTGCCGCCCTCGGGAGCGCCCCCGTCCCGCATCCCCTCCTCGCTCTCCGACGACATCCACTACTCGCCCTTCAGCAGCCCCGAGCGGGCCCGGATGGTGACGCTGCACGGATACATAGAAAGTAAGAGTTGGATACATAGAAAGTAAGAGTTGGA